TTGCTTTGCCAATCCGTGCCCTCACATCTGCATCCGATCCACCTTGGTTGTCGATGATGCTGCCCAGATATGTAAACGTGTTAACGTCCTCCCAGGAATCTTCATCAAGAGTGATTTGGTTAGTGCATGTTGTGTTGCATCGGAGAATTTTGCTTTTTCCTTTATGTATGTTGAGACCTAGTGCTGCAGAGGCTGCTGCTACACTGGTCGTCTTCTCTTGCATTTGTTGTTGAGTGTGCGATAGAAGAGCCAGATCATCTGCGAAGTCCAGATCGTCCAGCTGCGTCCTAACTGTCCAGTTGATACCGTGCTTGCCTCGACGTCTTCATAATCCAGTAGATGGATGACCAGGAGAAAGAGAAAGGTTGGGAGTAAGCAACTTTGCCTGACACCGGTCTTCATTTCGAAAGAGTCTGTTAGCTGTCCTCCGTGTACGATTTTGCAGTTGAATCCATCATAAGAATTCCGTATGATGTTGACTATTTTCTCAGGCACACCGTAGTGTCGAAGAAGCCTCCATAGTGTTTTCCTATCCACGCTATCAAATGCTTTCTCGTAGTCGATGAAGTTGATGTAGAGTGGTGAGTTCCATTCAATTGATTGTTCCACAATGATCCGTAATGTAGCAATCTGGTCAGTACACGATCGATCCTTACGAAATCCAGCCTGTTGATCTCGAAGTTGGACGTCTACGAAGTCCTTCATTCTGTTTAATAACACTCTGTTAAAGACTTTGCCTGGTATTGAAAGAAGAGTGATGTCTCTGTAGTTCTCACACTTGCTGAGATCGCCTTTCTTTGGTATTTTGATCAGGTATCCTTCTTTCCAATCTGATGGTACTTGTTCCTCATTCCAAATCTTCTTGAAGAGGATGTGAAATATTTTCGCAGTTGCTTCTACATCTGCTTTCATTGCCTCTGCTGGAATGTTGTCTGGTCCTGCTGCTTTGCCGTTCTTGATTTGTCTGATGGCCGTACTGATCTCCTCAATGGTAGGTGCGCCAATATTAATTGGGAGATCCGTGGATGCTGCTTCGATGTTGGGTGGGTTCAATGGAGCTGGTCGATTTAATAGTTCCTTAAAGTGCTCTACCCACATATTTCGCTGTTGTTCAGTGTTGCTGATTACTTTGCCTTCCTTGCTTTTCACTGATCGTTCTGGTTTATGATAGTTTCCAGCCAGCTTCTTTGTTGTTTCGTACAATTATCTCAAGTTTCCTTCTCTTGCAGCCTTTTCCGCCGTCATTGCTAGATCCTCCACATATTTTCGTTTGTCAGCTCTGATGCTCTTCTTCACTTGCCTGTTTGCTTGTGTGTATGCAGCTTGTGCGGTAACTTTCTCTGCTCTTGTTTGGCTGACATTGATTGCTGCCTTCTTGTTCCTCCTTTCTTCAATTTTTGCAAGAGTATCAACAGAGATCCATTCCTTGTGATGGTACTTCTTGTGACCCAGAACTTCGTGACATGTTGAAGTGATTGCCTCCTTAATCCCTTTCCAATTGTTCTCCAATGTTGTGTCCTCTCCATTGTGTAGATCCTGAAAGGCCTGGAACCTATTGGAGAGGGCTATCCTGAATTCGTTGAGCTTTACAGTATCCCGAAGAAAGGCTGTATTAAACTTCTGTGATGTTGTCTGTCCCGTTGTCCAGTGCTTCTTTAGTTTCAGTTTCATTTTGTCGATTAGCAAATGGTGATCTGAGGCTATATCAGCTCCTCTCCTGGTTCTCACATCCTCCATAGTCCTTCTGAACGTTTTGTTGATACAGATATGATCAATCTGGTTTTGAGTAGTGTGATCCGGTGAAATCCATGTAGCTTTGTGTATGCGTTTGTGCGGGAATATTGTGCCACCGATGACCAGTTTGTTGAAGGCACATAGGTTTGCAAATCTCTCACCGTTTTCGTTCCTTTCTCCCAGTCCATGTCGTCCCATGATGTCTTCATATCCAGTGTTGTCCATGCCAACCTTGGCATTCAGGTCTCCCATCAGAATCGTCAAATCCTTTGGTGAGCATCTGTCGACGATTGACTGCAGCCTTTCGTAGAATTGATCTTTAACGTCGTCATTGTAGTCATTGGTAGGTGCGTAACATTGGATGACGTTCATTGTAATGTCCTCTTTCTTTGTTTTGAAGGATGCTTTAATGATCCTGGGTCCATGAGATTCCCATCCTATTAGTGCCTTTTGTGCATGTTTGGACAGCATCAGTGCAACTCCTTGTGTATGTGAAGCATTTTCCTCTTCATGACCAGAGTATAACAGCAGTTCTCCTGAAGCAAGTCTCAGTTGTCCTACTTGTGTCCAATGCGTTTCACTGATTCCAAGCACCTAGGTTGTATCTTTTCATTTCTACCGCAACTTGAAATAGTCTTCCAGTCTCCCACAATGTACGAACGTTCCATGTACCTAAAAAAAATGGTTGCTCTGGTTGTCAGAAGAGGCATCGGCCCCGTAACTTCCGAGGGAACTCGGCTTTCATCACGAGACGTCATAATTCTTCTTCCAACTCCCAGGGCAGAGTTAAAATGGTTTGAATTATTTTTTTCTGGTTAGCGTTTTTTTGGCAAGTTAGTTTTTGACGGAATGGGGTCGCCAACCCCATGTCCAACCCTTCTCCTTTATCCGGGCTTGGGACCGGCAGTAGCCCCGAAGGTTCTACTGGCGGAGTTCTTGGTATATTAGTGAGAGTTAAATTTCATGCATTTCATTCAATAGCGTAGTGTACAAATTTTCAGTTAATCTCCGGCAAAACAGTTATATCCATGATAAAAAAAGTAATCTATTTGTTGTCTTTCAGTGAGTAAAAATGTTTAGATATTTTCTGACATTATGTGATTCATTGTAAGCCATTTCTTCAGATAATCAATAAATAAGTTAAATCAACCCGAGTTTAAGTAAGGCAAAGAGGAATAAAGCAAAAAATATTTGGTACAATCAGTCAGAAAACAGGTCTGACCAAGTCATTGATATGTCAACGCGGTGAAGATGATTCAAACAAAATATGTTTGTGTATTTCTATGTGTTAAAGATGTGAAAAATGTGATATTTATAGTGTAAAATGATATAGTTGAATTTTTATGTACAATAATAATGTGAGTTGTGAATAGGATCAAACATGGTGATTTGTATAGGAGGTTCAAGCTGGATTGTCAGTAAGGCTTTCTTTTCTTTTGGGAGCAGTAGGATTCAGCTTTACACGGAAAGCTTCAGATACTCACTTTTCTTGAAAGAAAAAAAAACCTCATCACACTACTTATTATTGCCAGCACTATTAGTCTCTGAGCTTTGTGAATCACGCCTAATATATATTAGCTCAGAAGTTACAGCACAACAATTCGCGTACTGTTGAGTCGAATTTTCTTCATGATCAACACATTTTCACTAGCACTACAAATTTTCCGGTAATCATAAAAATCGGTCATTTGTTAGAGCTTTTCATTGATCCATCATTGCTGTATTATAATTTATTCAACACCTAGAAATTTACTTTATTCCTTTTATGTATAGTTTATAACTTGCAAACCGATTTATTCGTGATTTATCTTCTAACTGATCATTCTCAGTATTCATGTAAAAGACGGTAAAAATTTGGTCATTTGTATTTATACTTGTCATTCTTCTTTTCGCACAACTGTCGATTATACTTTATTAATATGTTCAGACTATCTTCTGTGGGTCAGTAAATTTATTAACAATAAACACTGATATGATTAGTGGTATCGACCATAATGGTGAGACGATACTACGAATCAAATGAAGACGTCTTTTTCTCTCCAATCGCGGCTACTCTAAAACAAATTCCTCAAGATCCTAGAACAATCAAATCACATTCAGGTAAATCTGATTGCGTACTTATAAATTCAATGATAGTGATAAATTTCCAAAAATATCGAAAGGCACAATACTCATTTAAACATAGAAAAAATTTTGAGTTATGGATACAATAAAAATTTATTGAAAGTCAGTGAATAGAATTCATGCTCAATTCAGTCAGTCAGATGCAACGTAGAACTTCGTATGTAAGTACATCAGTTCACGTTGCCATACCACATCAGCACAGAGATATATTTGTCAATTCAAATCCAATAGTAGAAGAGGTAGTAAAGGTATTAAGAGTAATCGGAGAGGTTAGGATTAGTAGATATTATTCAAGAAGTAGGATTCAGTGAGAAAAGTTTAGAAAGTCAAAACTAGAGGTGTTGAAGAATCCAGAAGATTTGGATGTGAGAGAACACAAAGAATAAATGCACTGGCACCATTGCAAACGGTTTTGAGCAGAGAGGTGTGACAGCAGTAATGTGTTTCCCTCGGACAACCAGCATCTACAGCGATGCTGCCCTCTCACAAGGAAGGAAGGTTTAGAAAAGGTCGACCCTAAAAATGTCACACCCCGCCCTACCTCAAGGATTTCCGTCTCCGTCGGTAAGAGTGCCCACTAAAGGCTTTTAAGAGCGGAGCTAATACTCAAAAAACCTTTCATGCTGAATTAATACAAAAATCAACTAAATGAAAAAACACAGTCAAAATCAACACAGTTTTAAAATGCCACCTTAATCATAGTTACTAATTGATTAAGATAAATTTCATTGGTAAGAATTACATAACATTTTATAGTAGCCCTTTTTTCATGTACTTCTACTGCTGCTTTGAATTATGCTACTGTCTATGTGAAGAAAAATATGATGTTGATGAGAAACAAACGCTGAACTATTGTAGACGATTCTTGAACATCGACTGTTCTGCGCTTTGAAGACACCAGTCCAATCGATAAATTGATTTTTGCACAAACAAACAAAAAGAATAGTAAGCACCGGCTGTGCTAATGTATCACATTATTTTGAAAATTTGTGATTTACCAATCGAATTTCACTAAAAAAATTGTCTAATCAGTGTTGTGTATTTAATAGGTCATACATATTCTACATACTAGATGATGCGCTCTTTTGAGTAGGATGGTAAATAGTGTATATAAAATGAGATTTGAACTAAAAATATTTCTTGATTGCCAAAATCACCACTATAATACATCTGTTAAACAATGCGTTCAGGCCGCGCAGGTTGGATTGGATTTAATACAGCGGCATACATATGTGAATTGGTGTTTTTGGGTTTGGCGATCGCAGTACAAATCTCACCAGATTGGGCTGTTTACGATCTTCCTTATATTGGTGTTAGCGATGATTACAACCAACTAAGTCGCTCTCGTGGACTATGGAAGCAATGTATTACTAATAAAATAGGTAAAGTTTCTGATGACGTATCGTTATAACCGCGATTAACTATCAGTCGTAATCTACTTTCAATATATTTCTTTAATTGCTTACTTGAACCTTAGTGTATTCAAATTAATCCACTATACTCACTAGCTGTAATAAACATTGCGTAAAAAAAATCAGCCATCATGTTTATTTCTTGATACACTATTTGGTATTAGACATTTAAAATAGTTCATTCATGCAAGTTCAGAGATTACATCTTACTACTAGACTGGTGTTTCCAAAATCAATAGAATAATGAACGAAAGTTAACCTTTTTTAAATAAAACTATAAATCAATTGTTTCAAATAAACGAATACGTTCATTTTTCTCATGAAAAAAGCAATTACATGATTATATTCCCTTCATTTATTTTCTGTACATACATTTTTTTTAGTTAATTCACCATTCAATGGACAATGTTACGCATTGGAACCTTTTGGAGAATCTAGCAGCTACAATGATAAGGTGCAACCAATATTAGGTAAGTTAATCAAGTCTGTAGTCAGATGATCCAGAATAGTCAGTATTAAAATGCTTTTTGAAACAAACATGGAAGTCTTCTTCTAGTAAATAAGAAGTTTTAGAGATTGTTAGATTTTATAGTTTCACATCATAGATTAACCTTAGATAAACAACCTTTGGAAATAAGAAGTGCTGAACAACTCTACTCATTCAAGTATGAAACCGCTCTGACTACCTCCGGGTATCGAAGTGAGCGATTACTCTTTGGGCCATTCAACTGGCATTCAGTGGTTAACAATTTTAACTTCAATCCCTTATCGTTGTTAGTATCTGACATCCATTGAGCTCTAATTGTCGTAGACCACCCTCATTAGAACAATAATTTTTCCTACTGAACACTCCAAATTTTTGAAGAGAAAGTAATATTCTACTGATAATAATATTAGATTTGTTTATCACAGGAAGAAGTTATTACTTCAAACTCATTTTCGCCAGATATTAATAAATGGTGATCTGAAAACTAAAGTTATCTTAATATATTAAAATCAAGTTGTTTATATTTGAACTGCGAAATAAATCACACATCTGACTGTATACTTTGCAGTCTCATTCTGTAACACTAGAAGTTGAAACATGAATCAGTGGGACCATCTGTTGCGGTCTCTTGGGAATTCACTTTAACACATCGAAATTCCAATGACATAAAATATTACAGTTAAATAGAATTCATCTATGTAATCATTGGAAAAACTACACCACATACATACCTAATGAATAAGATCATTGTATATTAGTGCTCTGTGGAGATTCTATAAACAGGTAACGAGGCTGATTAAGTTTTGTATACCTTAAAGAATAACAACATTATCATGGATATAATTGAAAAGGTAAATTGTTCAAGTGATAAGCGGACACTATCTGTCAGAATGTGGCTTCTTTTTCTGTGGAACGAAACAGAAATGGTTTAGATACATGGCCGTATTCCATTTTATATGTTTAGTACAACTTGATTTCTCATCAGGAGCTCGGGCATCAGTACTTGTTATAGAGGTGGTTTTCTCTAATTTGATTAGGCGAAATTTCAACTATTAATATCGGTAAATAGAATCCTATACTCACTAACATAATGGGACCGAGTGATGAGTACTGACGTGATTGTCTAATTGACTTAGGCCCCGCCAGTTATTAAAAATCAATGACAAGATCACTAACCAGATTTAATAGCTCTTCCAGTAACAGAATAAGTAAGAAATTTAAACACAAAATAAACATGATAAAATGTTACAGATGACTGAAGTGAATTAACTTGTAGATCATTCATTCTCTAATCAATGAATACATGACCCTTAGGACTCATTTTTAGTCATCGTTTCAGTATCCGAACGAGATACCGAAACAATCCAAAGCTTAACATTCAGTTCAGTATTTCTGTTGCGAAATTAGATAAAATTTAGTGAATAAATTCATCTCTTGCTAGTCAGTGTTTTTTTCACAAACCGTAAAATGATTGACCGACTAAAGTATTGAGTATTATTGCATTGATAACATTTTTCTGAAACCATTGTATTTTGTATTGATACTATTTCTGTCATACATAAATAATAACTAATAACTTTAACATGGGAAATATTCTCAACTGTTTTTTTTTTTGTTTCTTAGCAATGAGAACTGCTATAAATGCACTACAGATTATTGCAATCATATTGGTTTTCATCAATATCGTTATAACTTGTGTAATTCTTATCATGATATGTGAGAAACCAGATAAATTCAGAACACGAACAGCTCAATATACAGCCTTAGGTGGAGGTGCTGCATTATGGTTTACAGGTAAATTTATTTTATGTAACTTACCTCCACATATTATATATGTGAACCAGTAGTTTAATTGTCTAAGCATCGAGTTTTGAACCAAAAGGTCCAAGGCTGAACCTATGTGCCTTCACTTCATTTCTAATGACCTGGACCGTTGTATTATTAATAGTCAGACAAGTATTTCTGTTGAGAACCATGTACTAGATAGATGAGTTATATTGTCCTATATGTACATGTATATTTGTGACCAGCAGTGAATTACAGGCGAACCCTAAAAATTTTTGAGCATTTTTTCTATTGAACGACAAGACATACCAGTCAGTCGCACGAACATGTACGCTAGTGATATACTTTCTTCTAGTTTAGAAGGTGTTTTAATGTAAAGAGATTCAGTTTCATCGTCAGTAATCAAATAACTTCCAAACATTTAATGATAAGCGTTATCAACAATGACAGGTTTGTATGTGTGCTTGACAAATATATAATACAGTATGACAACCTGAACTGATGTAGTTATGTACGAAGTTCAACGTTGTAATTGATTGACTGACTGAGTATTAACTTCAAGTGGATAGTGATGTCATATCCGGCCATGGAAGAGATAGGGGTGTCACGAATTTCTTCTAAACACATAAACTGGGGTTGAATGTACGTATTCCTATGGCTTCTGCACTGTGTAGGAGACGGGATCGAACTCCGTTGGAAAATGATGGAGGTATACGATAGATCACCCGAAAAGATCTATATAATGAAATGAATACCATTGTTTTAAGGTTCATTCATAAAATCATCCTATTATATAACGAGGTTTGATTTTAGATTAGTAAAGGATTGCGTACCACTGATAATTTTTTCAAATCAAAACATATTAAAGATTGAAATGCTGGATAGTTAAGATCATTCAAAAAAACATATATTCGGAAATGTTTTTGTTTATAATACTAGTTGTTATTAATGTGTTTCCATTTCACTATGATAACTCATTGTTTTCATAAGAACTTTATTTCTTAAACATTAAGCGTAGTTATTTCAGTATCAACATGTTTGCGTCACTTATGTTTATCCAAAAACATCATCGGAGTTAAGTGCAATTAGTTACATAAGTTTGCATAGACTGGTTTATTATTATTATTATTATTATTATTATTATTATTATTATTCAATACAAATAGTAGAAATCATAGACAGACAGACAGACAGATACAACGCAGAACTTCGTACTTAATTACATCAGTTCAGGTTGCATTGCTCCTTCAACACAGAGACGCAACTGTCAGTTCAAATCCAAGAGTGAGAGCAATAATAGAAGTATTAGCAGTAATGGAGAAGATTAGGGAGCGAAAATATGATTTGAGAAGTATGCTTCAGTAAGATAAATTTAAAAGGAGAAAGGCAGAGATTATGAGGAATGCAGAAGCCTAGAATTTCATAGAACACAAAGAGTGGATGCACCTGC